TATATATATATATATATATATATATATATATATATATATACACACATATACGACCACTAAGTTTCTTTTCCATGCATCACACCTACTCTCTCAACTGCAGCTAACTCACATTGAGTAGGGAAGAGTGGTGAGGAGTTCACACATACCCTTACCATTTCACTTAGTTTTAACTAAGTCTAATATGATCTCAATTATGTATATGCATGCCCTTTATGTTTCGTGAAATTTTGACACAATCTTGAGAGGAAAGAACCAAATTACAACAATGTTGAAATTATGATGCTTATGTGTGATCCAAGAATATGGCTCCTTTTCATTTAGTTAAAATATATAGCAGAAACCAAGCCCGAACTCCTGGCAAAAACTTTAAAGATTTCTCATTCACATTTCATTCACCATGCACAAGTTACTCCTCCATTACATGATACAAAACCGAACACAAGAAAATAGTGGTAAACAAACTGAATATTAGAAAAAGGGAGGTGGATTATAGAGCATTCCCACACTTTTACATCATCATGCTTATGAGGATTTACAACTTTGACTTTTCAACTAGTCTTAGTCATGTTAAAAGAGAGTTCCCTTCCATTATTAGTTAATGCATTACCTATTGCTCTGAGATAAACATGATGCAATTAGTTTTTTTTTTTATTTTTTAAAATATGATCCAATCAGTTGGGCGGCATTTTTTTTTTTTTTTGTGAGACTAAGGGCCTATTTCTATACATGGTGGGGACCAAGGTGTACTTCACCCTAAATTGATTAAGAAACGTAAACTCACACATTGATCTAGAAAGGTGAAGATATCCCTAATCAGAGAATCACGTTTGCTTTCACCCGCCAGTGGAGCCTCCGACACACCAAAGTCCGCCAGTAGTAAAATGCGGGTGACATCTTTGTTCCATAAACTCAAAATATGGTTCCTGCAAAGCATGAACCAATTGAATCCCAGGGACTTCACAGAAAACAATTAAACTATTGGAAAGGGTAATGAATTGTATCATACTTTTCAAAAAATCATATTAATTTCTTCACTGAAGAGCCAGCGTTCTTATGTAAGAGAAAACATGCAAGTAACATAGAAACTGTTGAACAAACTGATAAACTTGTGAAAAGACATATGATTAAAACTAAATGAGAACAGCTATGAGTTTGACCTACACAAGCTAACAGTAAATATCCCCCAATATCAAGATAGCATTCATGACAAGTAAACCAGAAAAAAACTTAACTGGATACTGACCTGCACTCCAAATATTCTTGAATTCCACCTTTTCGCTTCAAGACTTCCTTAAATCTTATTTTCTCAAGGGAACCAGCTGCACGAGCTTTCAGCCCAGCCGCTACAGCTGCTGCTTTACCATATCCAGCATGTACAGTAGCAGATAATGAATCAAGTTTCTCTCTTATTTTATTATGGCTGACAAAATGTTCTGGGGCCTGCATAAGTGCTTCCCAATCAATATCACCCTCATATGCCATGTCACCATGCCTCTGCTTTCTGGCATTCCGTGCAGCTCTTTGCCCAACTGACAGGCTAGTTTCCTTGGTTTCGGGATCTTCTGCATAGCTTCCCTGATGATCTACCATCACAGACGAGCCAGAGGCCCCATTCATTCCCTCACTCTCAGGAGAGTCACAGCTTGGAAGACACACACCTTCACGTGATGCACGAGAAAGTTCCAATACATGTTCAGCTTCAATATCGACTCTGCCTGGCTCATCCTTACTCTTTTGCAGGACCATTTCATGTTCATGTACCTCTTCTGAAGAAATTGGTGCACAGTCTGATTCTTCAGGGAATTTATCAAGGACTTTAACTGGATCGTCATGATCTCCAGATGGATGTTCGATCTGCATTTGGGTGGAATGAATTAGATCCACGTCAATATCAAGACAGCTGTCTAGTTTCACATCATCACAAGTATTTTCAATGGATTCACCTACGGATGTTTCCAAAATCTTTGCCTCCATGCAAGGATCAGCCCCATCATTCACATAAAAGATATTATTTGGAACCAGAGTCTCATTTGTGGAACCTGATGCTGGTTGGTCTCCGACATCATCAGCGTTAATTCTACCATCTTCGACTCCAATGATCTTAACAGGGCATTGTCTCAAACTGGAAGGAGAACTTCCACGCACAGTGATTGAATTTGATTCCTCCGAATTATTTTCTTTAGAAGAACCAGTCACTGGTATCCCTTTATTTAAATCAGAAGCATTCCCTGGTGTACAATTTAAGGCTTCTGAATAACGTCCGTCAGGCACGACAGATTTCTTGAAAAATTTTGAATCCGACTTGGCTTTCCAAACAGAAGACTCTGAGCCAGCATGCGAATTCAATTTCGGCCCATCATTCAATTCTCGGGTTTTCTTCCCTTTCTTCAATTTTGAAGAACCGTGAGATTTCCCAGTCTGCATCTTTTGGAAAAAAGCAGATAATGAATCCTCTGCTACCACTCTGTCTGATTCTGAAGTACATTCTTTCTCACACCTCAATGCATCATCTCCAGATTTATTCGGATGGACATCTTTGCCCAAGTCAGAGTTTCCAGCTATCATTGTATCTGAATTAACTTTGACTCTCTTGTTTTTCTTTTTAGCCTTCAGTTTCAAAGCCTCCATCACAGTAGCAACCTCTGAAGATGCATCTTCAGTGCCATCCTGGCATCTTTTCTGCAATATATTAAACCCATTTTGATCCAAATCAGAGTCCTTAACAGACTCATCAAGAGGCAGGCCCGATGACTCCACCACGTTGCTGCTTGATTCATTCCAAGCTGCCATTGCAGATCTAACATTCTTTTTTGGACCCCTTAATTTTTTCCTGAAAATCGCCAATGTGTCGTCCATACCACCAAGTTCATCATTCACAGGAGTCATCTGTTCGATCCCCTTAGCCTGGTTTTCAACATCTGCAATCAGCTTAGTTTTCTTGGAATTTTTTCTGCCCTTTTTCTTCAGTAGTGTCCCAATAGGCTCGTCATCATCGGAATCAACCAACATTTCTGCAAGTTTCGACTTTCTCTTCAAACCCATTTTCTTCTCCTCATCCATTCCCCTGAACCCTAGTATCTCAATTCCCAATCTTCCTCCACATCAAAAACCCTGGCCCAAATCTTCAAT